TCAAAAGACTCAATGTTGAGACGAGTGACAATTGGGCTTCCGCTAACAGATTGATCTGCGGTATTCCGCCTTGAGAGGCTGATCAAACTCCAAAGAAATCGCGGTCCAATTCGGCCTGGTGAGTCTTTTGGTGGTGGAACTACTCTGAAGAGCAACTTGTAGATAATTGGATCCTCCCTGGATGGGAAAAAATAATAAACTATATAGAAGATAACCAATTAAACAACACCATTATCGTTGAGTTGTTAGTTACTAAGTATTAGTTCGTAATATTATTATTATGAGTTAGAGTTAATTAATATAATACCGTTAAGTAGGCGTTTCTGTTTCTATTTAAGCAAGCGAGGCACGTGCTTTTCAAGTAGGGACTTACTTCAATTAAACGATTATGTTAAGTTCTCCTACAGAGTTCCATTATTTTGTTTTGTTCACAAAGACGTTAAAAGGCTATTAATGCGAAAAAATTTTCTTCCACATTAGTGAGGCTCACCTGAGATTGGTAACATCTTGGTGAGTCATTCCAGACGCTTTTCCTCTGACCTCAATCAGTCGGTCTACGACCACTAGCCAAGACTTTCCCTTCCTTCTATTTCTTGATTTTAGGAAATGTATATTGTTAAGGGGGAGTGATTGACCCCTTGGACCCAATTAATGGGAAATACATATAAGTTTATCACCATGGTCTCGTTAGACCCGGTGTCGGCAATCAAAGTAATTAATCACATACGTGCAATCAAGGTCATCGCAATGAAAATTGTCATAAATTTGGGCTAATGGTCGGTGCTCGAGGGTCCAAGATCCTGCCGACCGCACATTTTTAAGGAGAATAATAAAATTGGTAAATTTATACCTATTTATGATCCATTCGGATTAAGAATGGGATTTGCTGCTCCTACAGAATAATCGGTGAAAATGAATTAACAAACATTAACTTTACACGAAACCTGTGTAACATCTTTGAGCGTTACTCAGTGAGCTTATATAGGCAAAGAGTTAATTTACTTAAATGTTATTTTTATCTAAAATGTTTTCATTAGTTACCGTTCATACAATTTACCCATCTGCATTACAATTAATCATAATTCATTTCCATTTTTCCTTAATATATCATCGAGATGATTTGAAATAAAATTTATCACCAACTAAAAGTGAATAAGCAGTTGTGAATTTACTCCCGTGGAAGAGAAGGTAAGGAGAGTAAATTCATCTAAAAATAAGGTCCTAAAAATTTTCACCGTTTGATTGCCCATATGACTTTATTCTCTTAAGAGCAAATAAGAAGCTGTGGTCTCGGAAATTATGGCAAATGTTATTGTCGACATTCCCGGCCGATGTCTTTCCACACAATGGGTTATGGACCGGGGTCTTCCCACACAATGCTTAATCAGAAGAGAATTTCAGACCTCAAGATGCAACGAACTCAAAGCTCGAACAAAGGAGAAATAGTGGACAGACCTCAAGGTGCAACGAACTTAAAGTTCGAACAAAGGAAAAACAGTGGAGAGTGGCACTCTACCACATAGAGGAGAAATAGTGGACAGTGGCACTCTCCGACATACCCGGCGGCGAGAATCGAAGCCGTTGCTGAGTTTAGACTACGTATCGGACAGAGCCGAGTTTAGACTACGTACCGGACACGATTGCTTGGCAACACCTTCACAGATTGGGAGTATACACTCAACCCACATGGACCTTCACAGATTGGGAGTATACACTCAACCCACATGCCCCCTTCACAGATTGGGAGTATACACTCAACCCATATGCCCTTTCACAGACTGGGAGTATACACTCAACCCACATGCCCTCTGGATTGGGAGTATACACTCAACCCACATGCCCCCTATGTAGCCTGGGAGTATACACTCAACCCACATGCCCTCTATGTAACCTAAGAGTATACACTCAACCCACATCCCCTCTATGTAACCTACAGGAGGAAATGGTTTCACTCAACCCACATGCCCTCTATGTAACCTACAGGAGGAAACGGCTCAGCCCCCTTTCACAGACTGGGAGTATACACTCAACCCACATGCCCTCTGGATTGGGAGTATACACTCAACCCACATGCCCCCTATGTAGCCTCCCGGGAGTATACACTCAACCCACATGCCCTCTATGTAACGTAGGAGGAAATGGAGAAGACCCACCTGATTCGATGTCCAGCCCAAAAGAAAACGAGGGAAAGCCAGAGATACTGGGAAGCAAGAAGATAGCTAATGAATTGCTATTAATTAACTGCTAAAAATGTAATCCAGCTCTAAAGACAAGGACGGAAAGCCAGAGATACTGTTAAGCAAGAAGACTGCTAATGAACTGCTATTAATTAACTGCCTGAAGCTGAAGTCAAAGTTTAAGGGCTAATGATAAATATCACAAAGCCTGCCATTTGGAACAAAAAATATATTATCGACATTCTGACCTACTTATGTGTTGCTTTTGACTCAAATTTCATTCCTCACTTATCTCTCTTCCAAGATTTAAACTTGCAAAAGTACTCTAAATGTCATGTACACAAAAATAATAAGAATGTAATTATGAAGCCTATCTCATTACTACTCTTTCATCACACCTATATACCTTTTATTCATAGACAAGGTAACAAAGCATAATAAGTAAAACAAGAAATATATTTAAAGTAAAAATTTTCTTATGGCCAACTTTTGTCAAACACATTTTACTTGTCATTGACGCAAAATAAAATAGACGTGAAAAGTTAAAATAAGCCAAATGAACATTTGAAATGTCAGTTATACTGGTGTGTAAAATTCATCTTCAATCAAGTTACTTATAGAAATCAGTCAATCTTTCGGCATATTAAAACTATTTTTAAATAAATAAAGCAAATGGAATATAAAATAAAAGCTTTTTAACTATTTCGAATACGGCGAAAGGGGCCTCACTGGTTAAAAACAACAAAAGTTTAGTAACGAGAGATTTAATAGGAAGAAAAAGGCAAGAACTGAATATCGTGTGAACTTAAGCTCTTGTGAAATCCCATTACCTCCTAATTATATTATACTTTAGTACAAATAACTTTTTTACAAGATGCCCTTTTACCCCAACCCAGAATTAAAAGAGTTATGTAACAAATGAACCGACAGTGCGCATCTACATCTTAATACGATCTGTCCGCAAGTCATTCGCATTTCGGGATGACTTTGAACAAAGCCTTTGGTTCATATCTTTTTATGCCGCAATCAGGAAAATTAGTCGCGTCAGTAGAAGAAATAGTCATTCAATTAGAAGAATTCGGGAACAGTCATGTCCACCTTCTAATTATTTTTATTGTCCTTATAAGTAGTCATGAAGCACTCCTTTCAAAATACCATTTTAATATGCCATAACGTATAGGAAGCCGAGAATAACTTCACATTGAGGCAAATCAACTGGAATTGATTGAGAGCAAATTGAGAAGAAGGCAAGTGGCAAGGGTGAGAGATATTGAGAGTAGGTCCGGTGTACTTCATTCGATGTTTGAATTCAGGTTGTAAAGTTTACATTCCAAATCGCGAAGTTCAAGAGATGTTATCTGGAATAGTGAAGAAATTTCTGTTCACTATGTCCAGTGTTTAATGAATGTTTTTTTTTAATTCTGTTGGTCTGCCTGGCCATTTAAAGCCATTCCTTTTCCAAAGTTAGGAAGTCAGAATTGTATTGTTTTAAGTCGATCGCAGCAGGACTGGGGTCACTTCTCTTTAATACGACTCTATAACCATACCAACAGCGGGAATATTGTAAAGTAGTTGATAGTTCTTTTAAGAAAGCGATAATTTATCAGGGTGATATTACCTTACATTGAAGTCAGCTAACTGATTAGGGAGACATGGACAACCTGAATATGATATTAATCAGGATTTCAGGGTAATATGAACTTGGGATAAATAGTTCATTGAAGAATACAGAGAAGATTAGGTACCATTATTTTAAAGTGTCTTTTTGTTCTCGATTACGTCAATCTTTATTTGACCACGAATTTGCATACCAACTCCGAATTCTTCCTCTAAGTTAAAAGTAGTACAAAGGAATTTCAATGACCCCCATTATAATGTATAATAGGGGGTGTGCGATAGACTTACCTCCACGTGGTTTATTTAATGAATGGGGTGTGCGATAGACTTACCTCCACGTTGTGCGAAATAGCAATGTGGGGTGTGCGATAGACTTACCTCCACGTGGTACGCCCTGGGCAATGTATACTCATACGGCAAAAAAGTCTATTAAATGGCTTGGAAACGTGACCTCATACGGCAAAAAGTCTATAAACCGCTGGGCAACGTATACTCATACGGCAAAAAAGTCTATTACTGCGCAACGTATACTCAAACGGCAAAAAAGTCTATTAACTGGCATTTGACTTCTGACTTCAAACTACCATGACCCCACTGTATGTTACAAAGTATACTCATACGGCAAAAAGTCTATAAACCGGCAGTGGACTTCTGACTTCAAACTACCCTCACCCCACTATATGTCACAATTTCTGACTTTAAACTACCATCACCTCACTATATGTCATATTCGACTACTTCCATAGTACTCACCTCACCTTTTTTCTACCTATGTGTCTGTCTCTTTTACGTCTTTGAAACACTCTACTGTTCCCCCCTCCCCTCTTGACTTTTTTAATTTGGTGTATCTCCCTCTCTGTGAGGCTTGAAGTCAACTAAAGGGCTAATGATAACCATCAAGACGCCTGCCATTTGATATAATAATAATAATATATAATAGTATCACAAATTCCTAATGGTTATTAGACCAAACGTCAGCAAAGCACTTTCTTCTGTGAAGATGGAGTTGAATTCTAGAATAAAGATTTTGTCGAACTCCTCAAGCCTGATCTAACAAACTGTGTAACAAATATGTGCAAAATGCCAGATGCACAGAATGTCACCTCAGCAGGAAATAATAAGTGCTGGGAATAATTTTACTTCAACAGGCTTGGAATTTTTATAATAATAAATTCTAGTTCAACCGGCCTTGACAGTGCGAAAGACATTCTTTCATATTTTTTGCAGTGTTGAATTCGAGGCATGGGTGTTGATACCCTTAAATCAAGCCAAATATACTTAGGTATATGGAAGACTAAAAAAGAATATTTCACTGCAGAGAACTGTGCCTCAAACAATAAATAACAAACCCATAGGTTAATTTGATAAAAGTATTCTCAATGCGTATTCCTTTCTTAACAAGGTTTGAGGTAAACATGGATCTTCACGATCACCTAATTCATAAAGAGTGCGTTTGGTAAACTCAAATTACTTAGTCCTGTCAACCATCCTAAAAAGCCTATTCATTATACTCAAGATGAAGGTAAAGGTGAAAGAAAAAATTGCGACAGATTTCTAGCGAAAATTTGAAATCGAATTCAGTGTGTTATTGAAAATGGGAAGGCGCACTACAGCACTACCTGTTCAAGATTCCGTTTATGGACTTGGT